ATTGTGGGGGTGGAGTAAGTGACTTTAAGATCTCTCTTTGACTTAGTGATAAATGCCATACTGCTGTAGGAAAATGTCAAGCTGCCGTTCTGCAGGCCATTTGTAAAGTTTTCTATTAATTGACAGTCTTACTTAATAGTGAACATTTCTATTACATTAATAGATCTTTATATTACTGTATTTTTGATGTATTTTTCTTACATTTTTATTTAGTACTCTCATCATCAGATGGTTTTAAAACATAAAAACATGAAAGAATTCATTTAGTAAACTATTAATGACAAAGCTTAAATTCAGACAAATCTAGTCATAGAGTATTCCTCAGAACATCATGAGCAGTAGAGCTTATGAAGATTAGAGAAATAGGGAAGATACGCCCTAGGTTAGAAAGGCATGTTTAAATTTGGGAGGATGATCTGTGAAGCAGAGTCTATTTATTTTGTTTGGGAGGAATGGTAAGGGACATGGTTAGAGTTGACACTTATACATTACTGTTTAAAAAGTTGAGCTTAATGAATTTAGTTTGTATTAACAAAATAAATATTAACCATTCGTTATTCAATAAAGTTATTTAGTGGCTACCCAATCAATGTGCTTGGGATATACACACAACCTCCAAAAATTCAATCAGGAAGAAATAAAAATCCCGAACCAATCACTAATGAGTAGCAAGATTGAAACAGTGATACAAAATCTCCCAAGAACAACAACAACAACAAAAAGACTAGATGGATTCACAGAGGAATTCTACCAGACATACAAAGAAGAGCTGGTACCCATCCTACAGAAATTATTCCATAATATTGAGAAAGAGAGAATACTCCCTAACTCATTCTATGAAGCCCATATCACCTTGAAACCAAAGCCATAAAAGGACACAACGACAACAACAAAACTACAGACCAATATCCCTTATGAATACAGATGTAAAAATTCTCAACAAAATACTAACAAACTAAATTCAACAGCACATCAAAAAAATAATTCACCATGATCAAATGGGCTTCATCCCAGGGATGTAAGGATGGTTCAACATACACAAATCAATAAACATGATTCACCACATAAACAGAAACAAAAACAAAGACCATATGATTATCTCAATAGATGCAGAAAAAGCATTTGACAAAATCCAGCAGCAACTTTCATGATAAAAACCCTTGACAAACTAGGCAATGAAGGAACGTATCTCAAAATAATAACACAACAAAACCATGGTCAACATCATACCAAATGGGGAAAAGTTGAAAGCATTCCCCTTAAGAACTGGAACAAGACAAGGGTGCCCACTGTCACCACTTCTATTCAACATAGTGCTGGAAGTCCTAGCCAGAGCAATCAGGCAAGAGAAAGGAATAAAAGGTATCCACATCAGGAAAGAGGAGGTCAAACTATTGCTTTCCACTGTGGATGTGATACTGTATCTAGAAAATGCCAAAGACTCCACCAGAAGACTCCTGGAATTGATAAATAAATTCAGCAAAGTCTCAGATTACAAAATCAATGTACACAAATCAGTGGCATTTCTATATACTAATAACAATCAAGCTGAGAGTCAAATCAAAGACTGAATACTGTTCTCAATGGGTACAAAGAAAATAAAATATTTAGGAATATACTTAACAAAGGAGGTGAAAGATCTCTACAAGGAGAATAATGAAATACTGATGAAAGAAATCATAGATGATACAAACAAATGGAAAAACATCTCATGCTCACAGATTGGTAGAATAAACATTGTTAAAATGTCTATACTGCCCAAAGTGATTTACAGATTCAACACAATCCCTATCAAAATACTAACATCATATTTCAAAGATCTAGAAAAAAATAAATCTATGTATGCTTCATTTGGAATCAAAAAAGAGCCCGAATACCCAAAGCAATCTTAAGCAAAATGAACAAATCTCGAGGCATCATATTATCAGACTTCAAATCATATTACAAGCCTATAATAACCAAAACAGCATGGCACTGGTATAGAAGCAGAGACATAGATCAATGAAACAGAACAGCAATCCCAGATATGAAACCACCAACCTACAATCAACTGATCTTTGATAAAGCAGATAACAATACACACTGGGAAAAGGAAGCCCTATTTAAAGAA